CTTTTACCAGACACCAACAACATATACATAGAGTCAGAAGACAGCCATGCCTTCCCTGCCCCCAGAGTTTTGCATATGTGCTGATCTTTATGGATTTTTCAAGGACAGGGAACCAAACACAGCCATATTATAATCTAAGAATGAGTGGATGTTCACCAGATCCACACACTGGGTATGAGAAAAGCAAGCTAACAAGTATCATCTCAAAACTCATGAAAGGTGTAGGCTGAGAAGGAAGAAAGAAAATAATTGCCACCTACCGACTTAAGTGGTGTTGAAGAGGGCCGGGACTGAGTTGTGAACCCAAGGGACAGGGAGGACAAAGCCATCGCCGACCTCCATGCCCTTCTCAGCAATTGCTCAGCTTCTGCTCTGCTGTGTGCACTCTTTAATAAAAGCGGAGTTGCTTCGTTAAGCTTTTGTCTGAAACTCAGGTGGAGGTGAGGAAATCACAAGCCAAGTATCACTTATACCCTTAATCCTCTCTAGGGTGTCGCCTTGTACACCTCCCGCTTTTAGTAACCGTGTGACTTAAAACAAGTAATTGTCTCCTGTGAGGATTAAGTGGCCTAATATGCATATAACAAATACATATTCAATGTAGGTAATGCAGCGTCTGGCATATGCTAAGTTCTACCACCATTATTTAGCACAGCCACGCATATATGAACGCTCTCGGTAAACTATCGAAGGCCTCTGACGGGTGTGTGCAGAGCACCCTGCGGCAGGGGCTACGGTACTCGCATACTAGCTTGCCCATGCCCACACACTTTTCTGAGGCCCTCGTGGGTTCTTGCCTAGACGCATTTTTTTTTTCTTTGAGTATCATGGGTAACTTATTTCCCTCATCTTTCTTTCATCTGTCACGAAACCTGCGTGACATCGGGGTCAGAGAAGTCAGCGTTAGGGTTCGGTTTAGGATTCACTGAAGTCACCCAGGGCCTAAGCGGTGAAAAGGTTTGTGCAGCTGGGCAGAGCTTGGCCAGCCTCCCCTGGGGTCCCTTGCAGGAAAGGAAACAGAGGTGAGGCTCCTCTGCACGTCTCAAACGCGGTGACGGTGGAAGAGACACCCAACAAGTCTGGCTACCTCCCCATTCACTTTGAAAAATACGTCTATGGAGCCAGGAAACCGCCTGGGCAAAAAGGAAGAAAGCAGCTCGCAAACAGAACCCTCCGAGACGGCGGGAGCTCCGGCCTGGCCCAGTGCCGGATATCCGGGAGTGGTGTGCGCCGCCGGCACCGCCCACCCCAGGCCCCGCCCA